ATCTGGCTGAGAATATACTTAGTTTTAAGTTCTTCACTATATTCAAATTTCTTCATTCATAGAACATTTAAGTGACTTCGGTATTTAGAGCTCTGTGGTTTAAAATTATATACTAGATACCATGTTTCTAAGTTTTATTTTATTAGAAAATAAAGGGCTGTTACAGGAAGTGTCATGTTAAAGAATCTCCTTGCACTTGTGAGAAGAAGTTTATATTAGAATAAATCATATTAGACCACAAGATATTTTATCATCTTTAATCCAACAGTTCTGGGAAATGCAAGTCAATTACTGAAATTAAATTTCCAGTAGAAACAGTGACCTTTTGCAGGTCATTATAACCACTGTAAAAGTTACTGTTTGTAACTGGAGGAGTCCCCATACATCAGATTTATTTCATAAAATTGGATGGAGAATTAAAGGGTTTCATCAATCAATAACACAAGAGAAAGAAATATTTATGAGTAAATCATGTCTTTTAGAGTCACATATTCAGATTCATAATAGGAAACTACATAATCTAGAATATGGTACCCTTTTTCTACCATTATAAATGCCTGTTCTTTACTGTCGTCTTACTTTAGGCATGGTTCTAAATTCTATGTTCTTTTATACGGATCAATTAAGTATTTCAATCTAAATGGAATCTTTTTATTTTCCTCAGCTCTCTTCTCTGTTGTTTACATATTTGTCATCTTAGAAGCTTGAGTTGGTGCCTGACCTTCAGAATCTGCTGATTAAAGCCTCCCTCTGATGTGGGAGGTGGGGCTGTACTAAGGGTAGGGGCTTCTCTCTTCCTTCTATGCAGCTTTCTCAAGAAGGTTAAAGTGGCTCTGGGCAGCACCCATAATCAGTGATAGATCTGAAATATACTAGAGTGTTTTTCATTTATGCACCCCTTGATTCGTCCATTATTGATTGATCATGTCCTGTACCCACTTACTCGCACAGTGCTGGATAATCTCTGAAGATAGCCACAAAAAAAAAAAAAATTCCCTGTCATTGAAGGCTTCGAGGCTGGTAGATAATCACGTACATGTCTACGGAAGAAATGGCCTAAGAAGGCACGGTGAAACAAGGAGGCAGGACTGAATAAAATGCCTGGGCTCTCAGTTTGCAGTGAGATATGACAGAAGCAGTAACATTTGAGATGAGCCTTGAAGAATGAGTGGGATTGTCACAGGAATGGGTGGAGAAAGTGTATTCTATGGAGGGAACACTGAGCAGAAACAGTAGGCCCCACAATGTCCACATCTTAGTGACTGGTTTTTTCATTGGGATCTACTCCAGGCTGGTCACTGTACATGGAGGAGACAGGAAGATAAAATAGGTTTCCTGTCTGACCATTTTCACTCTCTGTGTTTTGAGGTTGTTGTCTTGTGGCTGTGTTGTGCACAGTCCCAAACCCATAATAACCACCAGACCATAGCCATCAGTGGTTTGAGTTGAGATGTGTCATTGTTTTTGCATGGCTTTGACACTTTTTAATATCCTTTGAATAGGGGCACTCTGAGCTATTGATCAACTCTCCTGTCCAATAAGAAGCATTTCTGAGTGAAGGTATGGGGTATGTTGAGGAGGAAAGGGCCTGATTATCTTGCTGAAGTAAGTTTCTTCTCATCCTGTTGCATATTATATCTTGGGAGCCTATGTGGCTGGTGCTGATAAGTTTGGGGTTATGCTGAGATAGGGAAGGCATCCCACTTCCAGACTCAGAAGGTTTGGCAAAGCATTAACCTCTCTGTTCTGGGAGAGAGGGAATAAGATTGTCTCTGTTCTTTTCCTAGTGTTTCCTACTCAACCCTCTTTCTTAGCAGAGTACTCTTGTTAATTATTAGAGGTCTTTCTGATGGTAAGAGGGGGAGAATGACAGGCTATCCCAGATTTCTAATTAATTAAAAGAAACAGTTGGATTAAATAGGGGAAAGAATAGTCCCATTATCCATCCATCTGCAGACAGACTCAAAGCTGACAACAATTGCCTGGCAGCTATACTGGGAAACCCAGATGAATGACAGCATTTGCACCCAGGCCTTCCCTAGTGTCTGTGACTGAGCAATGGTGCTTCCTAGGCTAGCAATGACTCTGTCACTACCCTGCCTCCTGTGTACTCATTCCAGTTCCCTAATCAGGTCTGGGGAGTTGTTAGGGTTTCAGAGAGAAGCTAAAATGTATGCAGACTGCCAGGCCAAAAATAAAGAAGCATGTTGCCTCTGGCCAGTGTTGATTAGATTAGATGAGGAGGCCAGGCAGAGCTGGGCCAGGACAAGACTGTGTGGGCACGAGGAGGAACGGAGAAGCAGAAGCTGCTGGTGCAGTGTTTGCATTGACCCCTTGGGGCACAGCACTGGGGCTTCCACTTACCTCCACCCCTTGCCTCAATGTTCAGTATTCTTCACCAACACCACAGTTCAAACACATCAATTCTTTTGTCTTCCTTTTCCATTGTCCAACTTTCGCAAGTATATGAGGCCATTGAAAAGACCACACCTTGGCTCAGACGCACTTTACCATGGTTTTAACACAGTGTAGTAAGGGACAACATTCCTCTTCCCTTGGAGAAGGTTGCTTGCTGTTGTTCAGATATGAAGTATTTTTTATTTGAAATCTCTCATAGATCCTGGAAAAGCTCTTGGAGGAGGGACCTGAGTAAGGCCTTCCTCATTCATTGGGCTTTGGGAACGTCAGTCATCCCTCCTCTGCAAGTTAGCAAACAGATGCCCCAGCAGTCTAACAGGGTTGCAAAGGGTGGGTATGAACTTTGAAACACATGAAGAAAGAGATCTGCTACTGGCTGTTAGACAAAGCTGCAGAAATCAAGACAGTCTTGGCTAGAGACTCCCAAAAGTAAAATTCCCTTAAAAACTGACCAGTTGGGTTGAGCTGGGGCTATAGACACCTCTAGGACATATTAAGATGACTGCTAGGTGCTCATACCACCTGAATGTTTTGGAGACAGAGTGGTAGCACCTTCCTTACCTAGACTAGACCTACTACTGAAAAGGCTTTAGAGCATGCATTCAAGGCCATTCACAGAAAATATGAACTGCAGCTGCCTACCCAGAGAAAAGATTCAAGATGAAATTCTGAATGAGGAAGAGAATCTTTCCAAATGTAGAGCAGAGCCAAACTGAATGCAGAATTACAGAATAACTGAATTTTCGAGTGTAAAGGAACATTTAAGCTCTGTAACCACTTGATGTTGTAATGAGGAACTGAGACCAGAGAGATGAAGGGACTTACCCAAATAAATTAGAGACAGAGTTTGGATTAGAATTGTTCAGTGATTGTTCTTTTATCCACCAACATCTGTTGAGTACTTACTGAGTGCCAGACATGGCTCTAAACCTGGGATTCAGGCCTTCACTGACTCATAGACCAGCTCTTTCTATCATGATGGCTTTACCTTGATCTGAATCTGAAAAGCCTGTCTGGCATGGAATTCAGACAAGGTTGAGCTGAGAGATTCCCAAGATGAAAAACCAAGCTTACTCTCAGATTTTAAAGATGTTAAGTCAAGGGAGGGGTAGTAGAACTAGTTCCACTGATTAAATCACCAGACACAAGTAAAATTTAGCACCTTGAAAGGTTGTCATGACTATATTTGTGTTGACCTTTACCCAAGATAGTTACTTGGAATATAATCTTTAAAAACTGGAAATGGGTTCTGTACTTGTTTTGAATATATCAAGATAATTGAGAAGTTGAGGACTAGGGATAGGCCCAGGGAGGAGGGAGAGAGCTGAGCAGTATGGGAAGAAAGGAAGTAATTATGAAAAGGGGGTGGTGCCAGTAGGAACAGGGAGATTTGCCAAATGGAAGGCCTGTGAATAAGCAAAAAGTAGGAGCAGGAAACATCTTTAGTGGTTCTCTGGTTTTATCTGGTAGAAGACAGTATCCCTGTCTCACTAGCTACTGAGTAAGTTTTACTTAAGATATGCCCCATTTTAGAAGGTTCTGCTACTCAAGGGAAAGAATATTAAACTGAAGAAACATCTCAGCTTCACTAGCATGGGCCTGGTAATTCTTGCTTGTGCTAACAACTGTAATACCTGATGCTGACATAGTGCTTAATACTCGACATCATTACCTAATTAATAACTCTTTGAAATAAAGAAGGTGCTGTCATTCCCATTTCACAGATGAGGCAACTGTGGCTCAGGAAGTTGAATGGCTTGCCTAGATCACAGAGTTAAGCTAGAGAAGAGCCAGATTTGAAAAGTTCTAGTCTCCTGACTCCAAGTCTATTATTTTTCCTACCATGCTATGCTGCTTTATCTGAGAGTGAGGAAGGAATCCAGATTTAAATCTGTTTGGGGATATTTATCTATCATGAACATTTTGCCAGACTTCTGGATTTGAATAAAGATGAGACAGTGCTAGGTGGCACTGCTCCAACGTGATTTTATTTTCTTGGCTCACTGAGTTCACTTGAGTGGTTCAGGAAGCATGAATATTTTCCTGGGTTGTGTTGACCTCATCTTCATTAGTTCAAGTTTTCTCAATGGAAAAGAATCTTCAATCTTCATTCTCAGTGATGTCAGTATGGTTTTCAGTGTGGGAAAATTACCAGAGAAATGAGAAATAAATTGGTGTTAAAACTTCACTGGAGTCCTTAGGTGGCACAAACAGTTAAGCGCTCAGCTGTCAGCTGAAAAGTTGGTGGTTCAAACCCACCCAGGGGCACCTTGGTGGTCTGTTTCCAAAAGGCCTTGAAAACGCTATGGAGTAGTTTTACTCTGCACACATCGTGTCACCATGGGGCAGAATAGACTCAATGGCAACTAACAATAACAACAAAATTTTACTAGGTGGTCTGGATACTTTTATTCCAAAGAGTTTGCAGTGAGTCTGGGTCATTCTGTAACTGCTTGGGTAGTCCCAGAACCCTCAGAAGAGTGGCAAGATGGGGATGGTCCCTGGTCATGTATTTCCAGAGGATTTCTGTCAGTCTGGGCAGGATAGGCACATGGGTGACTGTGTTTGCTCTTTCTTTGTAGAGCTGCCAACTTCAGGAACTTTACCTTCATCCAACTGAATGGAGAATTCTCTCGGGGAAAGGGACTCGATGTCGGTGCCCGCTTTTGGAAGGGCAGCAATGTCCTCCTCTTCTTTTGTGATGTCGACATCTACTTCACCACCGAATTCCTCAATACGTGTAGGCTGAATACTCAGCCAGGTATGATCTGTGGGGTGGCCTTTCTCTTCCTCTCTCTCCCTCAAGGTGGTATTAACTCTCTTCTACTCATTCACCCTTCTCTTCATGGTCTATGCTCAAGTCCTACCTATTTTACCTCAATGACAGAGGAAAGGAAAGTCATCTGGTTTGATTTCTACTTTGGTGCCACATTGTGAACCTCTCAGCCACCACAGTTCTGGGACTCTTAGTTCTAAGTTCCTGTTTATAACCCCATTTCCATTTTCAACTGGGAGACCTGCTTTCATGAACAAGAGGGAATAGGAAGCATGTGGTGTTGGGTGGTTGGTGGGGAGACATACACTCAGTGCCTAAGGCATTTGACTGCTAACCAGAAAGCTGACAGCTCAAACCCAACAGCTACTCCTCGGAAGGAAGTTTGGGCAACCTGCTTCCATAGTGATACCACCTCAGAAACCCAAGGAGGGGTCCCTGTGAGTCACAATTGACTCAATAACAGTGAGTTTAGTTTAGTTTTTTTTTTTTTTTTTAATCTAGAGAGTGAGAGAAAGAAAAAGGCAACTATGAGCAGTTACCAGGGGAGGAAGGGCTTTGTGAAAAAATAACCCAAAATATGAAAATTATTTTCAGTGGTTGACTCAGAGGCAGGGCTCACATTCACCTGATAACTAGTGGCATGGCCATGTCAGTTGTTCAAATATCCAAATTCTTTTTTATAAATGGGTAAAGAGCTACTGCCTCAGGCTCCCTGTGGTGATTCCTGCTGCCCAGACACTGGTCCCTTTCCAGCAATCTTCTAGATTACCCCAGGACTCAGCAACTAAAAAGTTAATTCAGACACAGCTGGGGCAGCGGGACTTTGTAGTTTGCATTTGATCCCATTGGGCTGACACCCATAGCAAAGCCACTGACTTTTAACATTCTCAATATCTCTTTTGTGCAAGGAGGTCTTTGAGGCAGGAATATTTGAATGTCTATCTGGCCTACCTGATGCAGAAATTAGGGGAGTTTAAGATTATTTTGGGGAGGAGGATCTGTTTGAGTTGAGTGAAGGGAAAAAGAAAAGTGAGTGCAAACACCTGGGATGTTTCCTAGGGTGGAATGAAAATGAACAAACCCAATAATTTCATCTGTAGCTTTAAGTGAATGTTTGTTTTCTGATTTTCAGGCAAAAAGGTATTTTATCCAGTCCTTTTCAGTCAGTACAATCCCGGCATAATCTACGGCCATCACGATTCAATCCCTCCCTTGGAGCAGCAGCTGGTGAGTAATTACCCTGCAGATGCCTATGGGTGGCTCTGTGCCAGGGCTTCAAACCGATTCATTCCAGTGCAACCCCCTGCTGATAATTTGCATCTCCACTCCAGAGATACTGAATCAGAATCTACAGTTTAATAAACTCTATAAGATCTGTAAGAATCACCTGGAGATCTTGTGACACTATAGGTTATGATTCAGTGTATCTGGGGTGGAAATGCAAATTATCAGCAGGGGCTTGAACCATAAGGAACCAGTTTGAAACCTAGCCACCTTTCATTACAAGGGGCACTTGACCATGAGTAAAAGCAAGTGGGAATCTGTGGGTTGAATTCCTCCATAGTTTTTGTTTCACTGACGTTATGGCCTTTGCATAACGTTTAAGCATAGGCACTGAAACAAGGCGGGCTTGTGCTTACTCACTGATCTGCACTGAACACGTTCCCTTGTTACCCTACCGAGAGGGAC